CCTCCACCCAGCAATTCAGTCCCTCAGGGAGTTTAGATGTGTCTATGGAGCTTCCATGTCGTGGGGTTTTTAACCAATGTCATAAAACAATACATGTACCAACTGTTTAATGAGAAACTATTTGTTCTGTAAACCTTCATCTAAAGTACAATAGAAAAAATTTTTAAAGCATTCTATTAGTTATTAGAGCCCTGGTGGCACAGTGGTCAAAGAAATTGACTGCTAACCAAAAGTTCAGGAGTTCAAAGCCACCATAAGTTCTGTGGGAGAAAGATGTGGCAGTCTACTTCTGTAGAGATTTACAGCCTTGGAAATCTTATGGGGTCAGTATGAGCCGGAATCGACTCTTTGGCAGTGGATTTTGTTTTAGGGTATTAGTTATTAGTATTTGATTCTTTTAGTTTTAACACGTATATTCCCACAAGTACAAATAAAAAGTATCATGAAACAAAAACTACCAGTAATTATTATGAGGACATTGTATAAATTACATAATCTCCCCATTTTCCACAATAACATTAAAGTTATTTTTTTATGAACAATAAATTTTGGAAATGATATTCTTCCTCTCCTCTTTCTTACTAACGCACACCTAGCCATGTAACCCTTTTATGAATGAATTTCATATTTTTGTTTATGTAATGTTTTTTCATTAACAGAATGCATGCTGAATCATTGAGTATGTCTGAACTTTTGGTAGATAATACAGATTTTGATAAATATTATGTGCAATACGTATGTCCCAGTGTACTCTGGTGGTAGGACAGGTGGAAATCATATGTCCCAGTGGTCATGCAGCATGCTACAACCACGCATACATTGGACTGCACCTGAAAACAAGTTATTCACTTGAATATTACCTAATCCTGAAAACCACACTTTCCCAATAACACACAGGAAATGGTAAATATACTTACAAGGCTTATCTCACTGTACAGAAGCCCAAAGAGACAGAAGTTTTACCCAATCACACCTCCAGGATGCACCACCTCATACAAAAACCTTTCAACACAGCGATATGGTGCCAATGAACTTCGTTCTGTTTTATGCAGTTATGCACATCCCCGACCCAGTGACAACACATACTATAAGTGGGATAACATCCTCCCAAAAAACATGAGAAGCAGAAAATGTAGGTGGGCACTGTATGTCCTGTTGTTTATGAAAAGGGGTAAAAATACTGCAGGTCAGCTGGCCATACCATCCTCTAATCTGGAAGCATAGAAGGCACTCTCCGTTTCTATTCCTTCCACTCTTATTAACCAAAACCAAACCAAACCTATTGCCATTGAGTCAATTCCAACTCATGGTTATTCCTGTGTTACAGAGTAGAACTGCTCCATAGAATTTTCTTGGCTGTAATCTTTACAGAAGCAGATCACCAGGCTTTTCTTCCACAGTGCTGCTGGGTGGGTTCAAACTGCCGACTCTTAGGTTAGCAGTCAAACACAAACTGCACCACCCAGGGAGCTATTTGCTGTCATAAACCATTTGAATTACTATCTCATTTCCCTTTCTTCTTTTTTTGTTTACTGTTGTAGTTTAAATAAAGTTTACATTTCAAGTTAGTCTTCTATACAAAAATTTATACATACATTGTTATGTGACCCTAATTGCTCTCCCCATACTGTGACAGCACACTCCTCCTTTCCACCCCAATTCCCCATGTCTGTTCAAACAGCTCCTAACCCTCTCTGCCTTCCCATCTCACCTCCGGACAGAAGCTGCCTGTTTAGTCTCTTGTATCTACTTGAGCTAAGAGGCACACTCCTCACGAGTATCACTTTATGTCCCACAGTCCGGTCCAATCTTCGTCTGAAGAGTTGGCCTCGGAATTATTTTAGTTCTGGGCTGATAGAGAATCCTGGGGCCATGCTTTCTGGGGTTCCTCCAGTCTCAGTCAGACCATTAAATCTGGTCTGTTTACTAGAATTCGAGTTCTGCATCCCACCTTTCTCCCACTCCATCAAGGACTCTCTGTTGTGTTCCCTGTCAGGGTGGTCATTGGTGGTAGCCAGGCACTACCTAGTTCTTCTGGTCTCAGGCTGATGAAGTCTCTGGTTTATGTGGCCATTTCTGTCTCTGGGACTAATACTTTCCTTGTGTCTTTAGTGTTCTTCATTCTCCTTCACTCCAGGTGGTTGGGACCAATTGATGCATCTTAGATGGCCGCTTGCAAGCTTTTAAGACCCCAGACGCCACTCACCAAAGTAGGATGTAAAACATTTT